AAAAAAAGGGAAAGAAAGAAAGAAAATAATAATTAAATGTCGTTTAGCAAAGATTCGACAGTCACATGAGAATAACACTTTATTAGATAAGAAAACCTCACAGTACAATGTTTTCCTCACTCCCTCAACTTCTCTCTACCTAAAACCCACCCACCAACATTTTACTTCTACATTATTGTTACCACCACCACCACTTAATACGCAATGAAAGAAATATTACAAACCACATACCAAAAGATAAACTTCATTAAGCATAGAAAAATTAACTCATATGAATGTACCTTAAAAATGAGTGAGCAAACCACAAAAATGATCAAAGTTGCACAATTTATCTAATGCATACCAACATCGAAATGATATAACAATGTGCTTGCCTATGTAAATTGTTTTGAAATAATACACCAAGCTGCAGACCAAATGACTTGGGGCATGTTTGGTTAACCTTATCATGTTTACAGGTAAGTAAAAGTTCTTTACTGATTAAAAACTATTCGTAAATATAAAGGATTCTTATGTCCTAACTTATCATAAACTATGTTTTATTTTATTATTATTCTTGACAAATGAAATATAAGTATTCAACCAATTGACAAGGTTAATTTCAAAATAACAATTTACCTAAATCAATTAAAAGGACATCAATATAGTAATAATTGTAAGCGCATAGCTATTAAGTTATACAGATTGATAAATAAAAAATATATTTGTAGAATCGTAAATATATAGGCAATTTCGATCTATAGAGTAATAGCAAAATAAGATATAAATTCTAATACGTTACTAGAATGTTCTAGACCCTAATTCTTGAAAATGAAGCAAAAAGATAAATATGATTTTTTATTTTTTTAAAATTCCACTAGCTATATAAATTTCAAAAATATTATGCGATTATTAAGTCCTTGTTTCACGGGTTACCTTTTTTCTTAGTACAGAAAGGGACACCATACGGCAGTAGTATGTTCCGCTAGACTACCTTCCGCCTTTTCTCGGTCGTTTCGGGACGAAAATAAATTTGATCACAATTTAAAGAAAGCTTAAAATATGAAATTGAAAGGCATTGAAATAAACTTGATCATTGATTGCTTGAAAGCTGAACATTACAATAAACGAAAGCAGGAAATTACAATGGTTAGTGTAGGGGGTGAACACTAGAAAATTTGAAAGATGTTTGAAAGACAAATACCCCATATAATAGATTTAGCAACAAAAACCCTATGATAGGAGTAGACGTTGAAAAGCCGAGGAATCATACTAAACT